GACCCAGCAATCCTTCTTCTGGGTATCTCTCCAAAAAATCTGAAAACATTTATCCATAAAAACATATGCACTCCAATGTTCATTGCAGCATTATTTATGGTGGACAAGACATGGAAACAACCAAAGTATCTTTCAATAGATGATTGGATAAAGAAGATGTGGTACATATACACAATGGAAAACTATTCTGCTATAAGAAAAGATGACATACTGCCATTTGCAACAACATGGATGGATCTCGAGATTATTATGCTAAGGAAAGTAAGTCAGACAGAAAAAGTCGAGAACCATATGGCTTCACTCATATGTGGAATATAAAACTGAAAGCAACAAAGAAACAAGACAAACAAAAAAACAAAAACTCGTAGACACAGACAATAATTTAGTGGTTATCAGAGTGTAAGGGGGCAGGGGAGGGAGGTGGTAGAAGAGGGTAAAGGGGGTCAAATATATGGTGATGGAAGGAGAACTGACACTGGGTAGTGAGCACACAATGTGATACACAGATGCTGTATTACAGAATTGTACACTTGAAACCTATGTAATTTTACTAACTATTGTCACCCCAATAAATTTAATTTTAAAAAAATAAGAACTGAATTTGAAAAGAATAAAATAATTAAAATAAAATAGCACTGTATACCAAATGTATGCAGGAGACAAAATAAGGTTAATTTTCATAGAAAATTTTGTGAATCCCTATGTTCATATTCAACTTTCACTCTGTAAAAGGTCAATGTCCACAGATAGGTATACAGGAAATACCCTTGTGGCCCATCTTGCTATTCTCCAGGGTTTTCCATTTGAGAACCACTGCTACAAAGAAACATGGGCTTCATTACAAGATGTAAACATTTCAATTTGCATGAAGAAAATCATATTACAAGCTAAATATTACCCATTTGTATTTGCAGCCAAGTTACACTCCACTAAACCCTAAGTACTTTTTTTTCCAGCCAAAGCTGCATTGCATTTCAACTCTCTTGTTAGAAATTGATGATAGGAATTGACAAGATAATAGGATGGAGAAAGTTTTCAGATCTCATTTACAGCAGATGGGAGAAGGGTCAGTTTCCTGTGTAATGAAGCATTGTCTGGTTGCCCCTAAATCACTCCAAACTCTGCCCAGTCCCCAAAAGCTTAGAAAGCATCTACATTATCACTGCCCTTCAGAGCATTATTCTAACACCTCAAAAAAGAAAAGTCATAATACATGTCTGAGAATTAACAGACATAAATGCCAAACTTCAAGTTTTGGTTTAAAAAAGTAATAATGTACAATCCTCTTTGTAAGACAGACAAATACTTGCAATTCATAGAAAGAGCTTTTAATTTCTATCTAGCATGAGATCATTTTGTGTAATTTGTCCTTTCTCAAACTAATGTGTCTTGAAAGCTCCCATTAACAATTTGTTGCTAACAAAACACAGAGGAAAATAAAGGTTCACTGCTTCTGCCCCTTGTTTCCATTCTTCTCTCATAACTCCATTCTTCATCTGCAGGTACTTTCCCTCTACCTCATCTTCTAGAATACAGTCTGATCCTATGAGTTATGTATTTGGCTCCCTTGAGAATGCAGGGAACTTATTGTTGACAATTAATATGAGAGAATGTAGTCCCTAATATTTATATTTTAATTTCAGCATCAAATAGCTGTCTTTAAACCTCATGCTTGGTTCAATTAAGCCCCCACAGAGGGCCCAGCCATTTTGAAGGGCAGAAGGCTTTTATAGAGCTCCCAGGATATCTGAAATGACAATGCACATGCTATCATGGGCACCTAGATAAAGGACTCACTGATCAGGCTCACCAGCATCCACGAATATCAGGAGAAACAGTATCAATATGCAAACATTATATTCCAGAGAGAATGTCAGGGTAAAACAGCATATTAATTAGTCCAGAAACTTTCACTTTACAAAAATTCACACAGGTCCAAAGCTCTTTTACCCAGCCCTTCCAAGACTTTCTATCTTATAATATTGAAAATCAGGAGCCTGAATAAATACGATACGAACTATCATTGTGGGCCATGTTATTAAATTTCTGACTTGCATCAACTTGATTTATTTGAGTTCTGGTCTGTGAGCCTAGGCTAATTTATAGTGACTAATTAATCATTTATGTCCTCATTGATTCTGAAAAGCTGCCCCTACCTTCCTCACAGCTTCTCACCAGCTCACATGAACTTCTCTATTTGTGCTAACACTCTTTTGGGTTTCTTTACAGGTTTGTGTGTATGACAGAGGAAAGAAAAATGATTTTAAGAAAGACCAAAGTAACATCTGTCCAGCTGTGAGAGGATGGGAAAAAGATTCACATACCTGTATGCATACCTGTGAGGTTTCATATACTAAGGTATGTAGCATACAAGAAAGAATATTCCATTTCTCTTGCTTTCTTAAAAGAAAGATTTTAGCAAGTCTGACTCAAATTTAATTAACTCTTTAGTTCTGTTCGTACTTTACAAAATAGTGGAAATAGTGGCATTACTATTAGTAGTGGAACTACTAATACTGTTACAAACTTTGTAACATTTCCATGCTTGCTGTTTCTCATTTTTAATATTCCCTGTTTATTCCCACATATTAATTGACACAAAAATTCTTAAAAAAAAAAAAAAAACTTGTTACCTGTGTTCCGGCAAAGTAAAACAGTAAGGAGTTGGGGACTAAGACCTACCCCTGATATTCAAAGTTCTGAGAAGAGAAAGAGAAGAGAGGAGGCACTCATAGATCCTGCCTGGTCAGGAGGTACCATGTGGGGACAGAGAAGGGGCTCTGGGACTAAAATCAGAAGGTCTGTGGGATGCTCTCCATTGTGGGGTTTACTCTATACTCATTCTTCTACAACATTCTTCTCATCATTATCTCAGACCCAGAAACACTGACCAACAGGTTCTCCTGAGAAAAAAGCAGTAATGAATGTATTCTTAAGATGGAGAGGAGCAACTTAATATGCCCCCAGTCTTTTTTTTTTTTTTAAGATTTTTATTGGGGAATCAGGGGAAGGGGAACAGACAAGTTTCCGTTGTTTTGTTTGTTTGTTTTTGTTGGTCTTCAGTCTAATTGTGAAGGATGTTGCTTCACTGTGCCAAGTTGGCACCCTCATTGCGCTCTTCCCGGGTGAGGCAGATCAGTCGCCGGCTTCTGGACGGCCGCTCACTGCGGCTGCTGGCCGCTCACGCTGGCTGCTGGCTACACATGGTAGCCCATGGCAACCCACTGCAGCAGGGGCTGCAGCCTACGCAGTTGCCGGTGACTCACTGGCAGCCCAGCTCCAGGTTGAGCTGTTGTTCAACATCTTAGCTGTAGAGGGCGGTGTCACTGGCCCTCATATGTGGGATCCGAACCGGGGCCCTCTGGCGTCCCAAGCCAGTTCTTAACCAATGCGCCACTCGGCCGGCCCTCAACAGTCTTATTTGTTGATATGCTTTGATTTGGTTTAGATTTGGGATTTGGGTTTGGATTTGGTTTGATCTGTTTGGGGCAGCAGTTTTCTTTCCATTCTTTCACTTCTAATACTGTGCCAACCACTCCACAGGTTTGCTCCCAACTTTCCTGCTATTTTTTGCTTTCCTCTTACTTACCTATCTTCTCTGCCAGTTCTCAAAATCCATTATGATTATAAATATACCTTACATTTGTATGGCATTTAGTATATAAGTACTCACACATCATATTCGTTTAAACCTTATAATAACCCTACGCAATGTATATTATTGTCACCGTTTCAAAAATAAAGAAAATAGAATTAAAATCAAATGCTTTCTTTCCAGTTCCAGTAACATTTAACATTATTGGGTACTTTGTAAAAAGCAAGGCTTTGTGCTAGGTACTATAGCTGCATTCTTAATTCTCACAACAGCCCAGAGAGGTAGGCATTACTAATTCTCAATTCTCTGTAAGTTACAGATGAGAAAATACATGCTCTAGCAAGATGAGGTGACTTGCCCACTGGCACACAGCTAGTAATTGGTATAACCAAAATTTTCCTGAGGTTAGATAATCACTGAATAGCAGAGCTGGCACTAGAACCCAGGTTTTCTGATTCTGAATCAGGGGCAAATCTATTACAGTTCCTTTGTTGCTACTTCAAGCCCTGTATCCTGGCAAAAACACATTTGGTTGTTTCTTTTGTTAAAATATACTAAATAAAAGGTATGAAAGATATCATAGTAAAAAATGTTTTCTCTAGAGGTTATGCTTACCACACCAGAAGGCAGAGCACAAAACATTAAAAAGACCCCACTGAAGCTGACTCACCCCATAATTTGTCCAGTGTTATGAAAATGAAAGACTTCTACAGTTTCCTGGCTTTGCTGTCTTAAAGGTGCAATGCCCTCATAGTCCAAAGGTTTTTTTTTTTGGAGTGCTCAATGTCCCAATGTTTTTTGTCTTTAAAATATTAAATCAACACTGCAAAGTACTTAAATGGGTTCTGGGTGTACCTCTGGTTTGATTCTGGCCTTCAGCAAAGCTACTTAAGTATAGATATGGAGAAGTAATCAAAAGAAAACAAAATTCACAGCTTTCGTTAAATATTTTATAGTGTAACGTTTTAGGGTTTCACCTGCCTGCTGCCTCTGCTGAATTAGGAGCAGCTGTCCTAAGGAGAAGGGCTGTGCTGCCAGCATGGACCCCCTGCCATGTCCACAAAAGCAAGACCCAGCAGCAGGGGACCAGCCAAAGAGAGGAAGGCAGTGGCACCTGCCTGCTGCAGCCTTCTTTTCTTTTTTGACTTTCCCTCAGCAGGGAAGTACATGAGGAGCTGCTTGAGATGAACAATAATTTTCCAGGTTTTCATCACCCTTCTGGCAGCAGCGTCCGCAAGGAGCACTTAACATCGTATGGGGAAAATGGTTCCCAGCCATCAACTTCCTCCCCAGAAGCAGCCAACCATTTCACAAATGGGGACCTGGAGAGTAGCAGGGACATCTCAGCTCAGACTCATCCCTGCTGCTGGGAAGAACAAAACCCAACACTGAACACTGAGTTTACCAACAGTATGAGCAGCAGCAGCATCCACACACAAAGGCTTTTTGATAGCAGTTCTAAGTGAAACTCCAACACATTCCTCATCCATCTGAACTCCCAAAGCTTCAAGGGCAAAATCAGTCAGGGGATTAATTCTTAAGGCATGGCCTACACTCAATAAAGGGAAAAGCAACTGAAAAGCTTTTCAAGACAAGCAAGTGCACATGCACATGCACATGCACACACAAACATACACACGCATGCACACACACACACATGTTGCTATTTTCCCCCCAGATCCCAGCAATACCCATCATCAATTTAAGCCCCTAAAATAGGTTTTTATGGTAATTCAGAGAATCTGAATTCTGTATCTCTTTCTGCATCTGCAAAGATCTGAGCTACTCTAGCATATTTAAGGGGGAGAAAATGCAGAGACCTCATACCCACAGCATTTCTCCCTCTAAAGGGTTCCCAGTTAGCCTGGAGAAGGATGTGACTTGGAGCCCTATGGCATGTGGAGTTGGGCCACAGCTCCTGGTATCTCTTTACATCTATGGATTTACATGAAGTGTAAGGAGCATCAAAAGCAAAGAGCTCAAATATGGCCCAAGATTTGAGTTCAGACATAGATGGCATGTCTGGCAACCGAAGGTGAGGAGAGAGGTAAGGGAAGTTGCCTGGGAACACTGCAGAGTCCCTAGGAAAGAAATCATTCCAAGTGAAGAAGGTATCTGCATGGTGAACAAGACTCAACAACAGAGTCTAAAGTTTAGAGGAAAGTGGCCATTACAGCTATCTCGGAATACTTATTTGAACCTGCCTGTACCCAGAAAAAAAGTGAAAGAAACACAGGCTGGAGATGAGGCAGAGCACTATGACCATCCAGGGCACAGTGGATGGTGTGGTACCCAATGGAGCAGTGACAGCAACCACTGGCCCAGGAGCATTTTTAAAACGCCACCTAGAGGCCCACTGAGAAGACTAGAGTCTGAAGAAACTCTAGTGTTTGGGGTTATCCAGTCAGCAAAAATCTGGAACTGCCTATTAATTGGACCATATTTGTACCTTCTGGATATTACAGGTTACTGGAGCACCATTATTCAATCCTCAAATACTTATTTCTAAAATGTTATAGCTACCCACTCTAGAAGACAACAGCTACTTAAATTCCCAGCATGAATTTCACACAGGAGCCTCCCTGTATTTTTAGCTGTTCTGAGTTCTTATTGAATCCCCAGCCATCCTTTCAGACAGGTAGTGTCTGAAATATTCATACAGACAATACTATCTAAATCCCAAGTTAGTATTTACCTAGGCACCTATTAACACAGGTATCTCCATTTACACTAATGTAGAGATTTCTGGTGTATAAGGAAGGTGATTGATCCTTTTGGACCCTATATGTGCAAATCTTGTCCTTTTATCTTCAGTGCTACCCTAATTTTCAGAAAACAATGAAAATGACAAAGAACACGTGGTTTTGCTTTGAATGAAAGTGCATTTGAGCTTACTTCATTTGTTGACCAAATCTTTTGAGATATGACATCAGAGAATTAATATACCTTGCAGCCCAAATATTTTGTTGCTATGCCTTTCAACTGGATGATAATAAAAGTAATTGGAAAAGGTTTCAAACTTAAGTGAAGTAGTAATCACCCCATTTTCCAGCCCCAGTTTACAACAAAACCCCTTGATAGAATTACCTCTTCTTTCCTCTCCTTCTTTCCTGAATCTACCCCCAATATATTCTGTGTTACAAACTCTGTGTTGACAAATCCAATGTCAATTCTTAGTCCTTCTTTTACTCAATCGTGAGCACCAATTGACACATCTGTTCACTCTTTTTCTGACTCCTAAATTAATTTCTCTGGTCTGGGCCTCTCTCCTGAAGTCCAGATTCATGTATCTAACCGCCTATCTCACTTCTCCATTTGATAACAAAGGCATTTCAAAATTAACATGAACAAAATGAAAGTCTTCATTTCTTCCTCCTCCACCTCAGTCTCTCTCTCTCAGTTTTCCTCAGCCTCAATAAATGTCAACTATATTTCTTCTTTGCTCAGAAACCTTGGAGTCATCTTGGACCTCTCTTTTTCTCATACTCTATTATTAAATCCATTGGCAAATTCTATAAGCTTGACCTTCAAAATACGTCCAGAATCAGACCAATTCTCACCACCTCCATCACTGCTGCATTGGTCTAAGCTTCCATCATCCCTTATCTGGATAATTGCAATAGCCTCCTAATTGATCTTCCTGTTTCCACTTCCTTGTTCCCTAACAGTCTTTCTCCACATAGCAGTCACAATGTTTCTATTAAAATGTAATCAGATCATGTCACTTCTCCATTCAAAATCCTTGCACAGCTTGCTATCCATCAGAGTGTAATCCAAAGTTCTTTTTACCATGTCTACAAAGCCTGACCTAATTTGGAGCTCACCATCTCTTTGATATCATCTCCTACTACTTTCTCCTTCCTTTCTTCCACTACAGCCATGCTGGCCTTCTTGCTGTTCCTCCAAAACCCCAAACATGCCCCCATCTCCAAGACTTTGCACTCACTGTCCCCACTACCTGAAATTACCATCTCCTAGCTCATGACTCACTCTTTCTCTTCCTTCTTGTTTCCTCTCAAATACCCTTTCATCATAGATGCCTTTCCTGACTCTGACTACTCCTTATAAAAAAACACCCCCCTTCTACTTGTCAGTCTCCTACCCCTAACTAGCTTTGCTTCTCTTTCAGAGAACCAGTGATGACCTGACATAATCATTTGCCCCACTAGAATGTAAGCTCCTTTAGACTTAGGGACATTGTGTGCCTTGATCACAGATGTACCCCCATCAACCAGAACATTATCTCCCACATATTTCATCTCTTCTAAAACTTGTATTTTTACACATTTTTAACATCTCTAAATTGGGGATGCATCTTATAATATGCAAGATCTTTTTTCTCTCTTGTAGTCCAAGTAACAGTGGTCTGTACTATAATTGACATCTTATATGGTACTGACATTCAAAACATATTTTGAATGAACAAATAAATCCCACGTATTATATTTTTAGAAATGTGGGGCTCAGGCTTTTGGGTAAAAGACTACTGAATTGTAATTTAATATATAGCTTAACCTACTGATTGTGAATGTTTATCTGATTTATACTGATATGGGGTTACAGGAAAAAAACAAATTAAAAGTATCAAGGAAAGGGAATTGTCAAATTGAAACAGCCTAGAGTAAGGAAGAGACAATACAGGAAAGAGAATCACCAGAACTTATTTAAAAACCTACTGTAATTAATCAAACAAACTAACATAATTCACTAGCCCCTGAGGGAAACACTGTATTAACATATAAAACATAAATTATTCATAATGATAACCTAAGACCTAGTCATCACAAAATGAATAAAATATTTAGTATGCTCAGTTCAAAAAGCAGGAAAATAGATAGCACATTTGTGTTAGGTTTCCTTCAAAAAAGAATTAAAATAAAATAATTTGGTTTTTAAGAGTGATAAAATTTAATAATCTGGAACACTCATTTCAGTGGCACATTTATGACTCTCTTAATGATATCATCATCTTTGGGGTAATTCCCACAGAATTTCTATTGGTAGTCACCGAGCATTTGAACTGCATTTCATAATCCCATACTAGAAAAAAATCTGGGACACTGCAGAGTTATAAACCTTTTTACATGAATTCTAATCTTACTTCTTATTTGTCAGATGCTCTGAATTGAAATGTGTTGGAATAAAACATCATTTTCTTGTGCTTACTTATTAATTACATGCTTCTGCAAGTGAATAAAATATATCTTTACCCACCTTGTAGATTTCATGTGAGGTGATGGAGAAAAAAAACTCATAATTTTCTCATTGTAATTCTTTTTGCTCTGTTGTTTATACACCCTGTTGAGTTATGTATATCATCATAAATTTAGAAAAAATTTTATCAACATAAGAAAATAAAATGAAAATAAAGTCAATAGGTAAATCATGTGTATTGGGTAGTTGGGGGGGTTGTAATTTGGGGCAGAGCCAAGATTATCTTATTGATTTCAGCTCCATATAAATGTAGTCTATTAATGCAGGCTTGTGCTGTTCATATAAAGTCGGTGCATATTATCAATAAAGCTAATTTCCCACATCTCATTTATTAAAATATTCATTCCTTGGTTTCTGCTCTCAAAATATGTAATAAAATAATTCACTCATCAAATTGGGAAATGGTTATCGCTGTTATAGCTTATCCTTGCTAGTTCATATTTTGTACAATAAAACATATTAGCTCTTCAACAGTAAAAAAATACTGAAATGTTAACTTTGGGTAAGATTTTTAATCCCTTCAACTTCAGTTCCTCAGTCATTACATAAGGATAGCAGTTCCTAAAAGATTAGTTATGACAAAATAATACTATAATACCAGTAAAGAAATCAGAATGTCTGTTACATAGAGTTTATTTACTATTATTGGTATTATTAAATGGATTGTTGTTATTATGAAGGAATTAGAAATTTGGGCTACAACATCAATCAAGAAACAAGATCAAAGAATTTAACAGAATCTCCTCTTGAACTGCTTGTGAACAGGGATGAAGGCTGATCCCTCACTTAAATAATGGAGGGAGTGAGAAAAAAGGCTGTGGAGGATTCACTGCATTAATTCTTCACCCCCTCGCATATGTCACTTTGCCCTGTCCCTTTGTAATGCTCTCCCACTCTGGGCAGGGTGCTCGGTCCCACCTCTGGTTTCTGGGTTTGACCAAGTGGGTCAAGCCAACAGGATGTTTGCAAGCAGAAGCTTTAAAAAGCACTGACACATTTCCACTTGAGCTTTTACTCCCCTGCCTTTGCCATGAGAACATGCCCAGCCTGGCCTGTGAGGGGGATGAGACATGGAACAGAGCCCCAGCTGTCCCAGCTGAAGCCTTTCTAGACTAGACACAAGCCATCCAATACCAAATATGTGAGAGACCCCAATCATGATCAGTCAATACATGAATTACCCCAGCCAAGACCAAAAGAACCTACCTAGCTCACCTTAAATCTCACGAGTTAAATACAAATATTGTTTTAGTCATGGAGTTTCTGGGGGTTGTCACCCTGCATTACTGTGGTAGTAGATAACTAATATGGAAATTGATATTGGGCTGAGTGGAAACAGTGAAAAGAATGATGTCCCAGATCCTCGTTGGTGAAAAAGACTGGAGTGATATTCGTATGCAGTAAAACATTAAAAGTAGCAAGGACCTGGGTGGTTGCCTTCCAATGTAGTAAGGAATGAAGGACTGTGTCACACTGCAAGATCCATCTTAGAAAATCCAAGGGATGAACTGAATGGTGGCAGCCTGAGAGAAGAAAGGAAACTGAGCAGAAATCGTGGGTGTGCAGCAAGCAGGAAAAAAAGACGGGAGGAAATTAGCCTGGCCCTGAGAAAGAACTGCAGGTTCAACAGAAGAAAGCCCCAAATTGTTCCCCAGAATTCATTCTGACAGGTTTTTCAGGGGTCATTCTAATTTTTCAGTCAGGCAAATACCATTCGTTGTTAAATGCTCTATCTCTCCTATTAGTCTCCTATCCATTTTCATCATCAAAATTCTAAAGACTTTCTTCCTCCTCACCTTACTATTGCAAAATAACCTCTTTTCCGGTCTGACCTGGTTCACTCTCCCATCATAAAATCCACTATTAACAGAGCTACCAGATGATTTTTGAAGTAAGTTCAATCGTATTTCTTTGCTATCCAAAACTTGTTAATGGCTAATTGCCTATTAAATTACTTATGCCTGGATCACCCTTTTATTTAAGATTCTCCACAGAACAGCCACAACTTTTTATTCCAGGATGGACTGATAGATAAGCAAACGGATAGATAGACAGACTGACAAACTGAACTGCTTGCCACCAGGACAAGCTGATTTTACCTCAGGGGTTAGAAAGGTGACTTAGTGAGGGTGGCATTATATACATATTTCTGAGTACCATATTTGCAGTTCTGAGGAGCGTAGAGATTGTAATTCGGCAGTCTTAACCTTGACTTCACACTGAAATCACCTGGAGAGCTTTAATAAATATTGATGCTTGGATTCTGGATTCTTTGGTATGGATAATCAGGATTTTTTTTAAGCTCCCTTGGTGATTTTAATATAAGAACCACTGCTATAACTGAACTATGCTGGAGTAATTTTTTTTCTTTCTAGTCTCAACAAAAGTGTCTTGCCTTAGCGTACATCTAGCATTTTATTGTATAATGTAGTGAGAAGTATAGAATCTTAACTGATAAGTACATTTCTGTGTATTGGTATCTGTAGAACAGAAATGTGAACTGCACATTCTATCTCTACTCTCTATTCTTTCCCCAGAAATGGAATTCTTTTGTATTATAATAATGGCAAGAGAAAAGAATGAGAATTTTGCTGCCACCAGATGCAAATATATGNTTGCCTTAGCGTACATCTAGCATTTTATTGTATAATGTAGTGAGAAGTATAGAATCTTAACTGATAAGTACATTTCTATGTATTGGTATCTGTAGAACAGAAATGTGAACTGCACATTCTATCTCTACTCTCTATTCTTTCCCCAGAAATGGAATTCTTTTGTATTATAATAATGGCAAGAGAAAAGAATGAGAATTTTGCTGCCACCAGATGCAAATATATGGAGCCTATGTGCCATGCAATGAGAGGAGGCTTAAAAGAAGCCAATGGATTGGGTGGCGAGTGCCAACCTGCCCAGCAGTGTAAAACTGGCTGACTTAACACACCCAAGAGCTACCTGCTCTGCACAGACAAACCATGTTTCGGCTGCTCTAGTATTGCTGCATATGCACATTTGGACAACATAGCAGCCAAATTTCACTTGCAGACACATCTTAAAACAGGATCTTAGTGGTCTGAATGAGACCACTGAATGAGAAACTAGAAACTGAATCATTTTCACAGGGCAAGCCTAACCATTCTCTCTCCAGACCATGTCAGACCCCAGACGGACAAATTCAAAGGATTAGATGACTATTATTAGAGTATGTGGTTCCAGTTTTAGTGGGGGTTTTTGTTTGTTTGTTTGTGTGTTTGTTTGTTTTTACTTTCAGCTCTCTCATTCATTTTTCCCTCTGACCTCCAGCTAGAATTGACACAAAAGCTTTGTGGAAAGCAATTGGATCACATCACCATAATGAGTTAGGACACTGAGTAATTGGTTAGTCCCCTAGCCCCATTCCCTTCATGTGACCCTATGAAGCTCAGGGTGCTGCTATCTTGGCCAACCCTTTTTGGAAGCAACTAATGGTGCCTGTCTACCAAAACTACCACCAAGTTCCCCAGGAGGCAGGGCCAGGGATTGATTTCAGTGATGTCCTCTGTGTCATACTCTCAGCTTTCCATATTTGAAAAGTAACTCATTCCCCCAACTCTCTCTTACCTCAGAGCAACTTCTTTGCCTCCCAGAGCCCTCCCATCAATATTTAGAGCAGTTCCTTTCCTCCTTCATC